CAGTGTAAATGAACTCCACAAGAGTGTGTACTCTTTATTATATCTCAAGTCTTGATCCTTTACTCAATTAGCAATTATCCCAGACAAGCTTCATGTCCTGTTTCTCTTAACAAAACATGAAAAGAGATGTGGACCAGGAACCAAGGAACTTAGGCTAGTGTAGGTTCTTACACCAGTTTTGTAACCTTTAGTATATTTTAACAATAATACCTGCCTATTATGGGGCTGCTCTAGAATTAAATTAGATCACAAAACCAGAAACACTATATTTCTGTGATCTGGTATTAATATAAATATCAACTCAAAAACATATCCTACCAGTTTAGAGGTTGTGGGGACTGGAAGATGTTCTATAGTACCAAGTTTTGTTTACAAGGACTATTGTAAAGTACAGTGACCACAGTTAACAATGTATTGAAAATTGCTAAGCGACTTTAAAACATATATGATAAATAAAATATGTGAGGTAATGAATATATTAATTAGCTTCACTTAATCATTCTTCAATATACACATCAAGATACCATGCTATATACCACAAATATATATGCAATGTGTGTCAATAAACAAATTTTTTTCCTGGTAAGGATGAAAATAAAGGTAAATTCTCATACACTGTTGTTAGGAATATAAATTAGGGGGCTGGTAAAGACAATTTGGAATGTTCCCAACACTAAGAAATGATAAATGTCCAAGGTGATAGATACAACCATCTGACCATTTATACAATTTATGCATGTATCAAATTACCAAACTATCCCACATAAAAATGTCCAATTACCATGTGTCAAATGGAAATAAATGGCAGTTTTTAAAAATAAATCACAAAAAAAAAATAATATTGGAAAGAACAGAGAGCAGATTTTGTTGTTGCTGTTGGTGCTGCTGATGCTGCTGAGGTTGGAAAACAGAGCTGAGCCACAGGCATACTCTCGGCCCAAGAATTCTTAAATTGCCCCTATTAATTAAGAAACATGGGTTGGGGATTTAGCTCAGTGGTAGAGCACTTGCCTAGCAAGTGCAAGGCCCTGAGTTCAGTCCTCAGCTCTGAAAAAAAAAAAAAAAGACCAAAAAAAAAACCATTTGGCCGGGCGGTGGTGGTGCACAACTTTAATCCCAGGACTTGGGAGGTAGAGGCAGGCTGATCTCTGTGAATTCAAAGCCAGCCAGGTCTACAGAGCTAGTTCTAGGACAGCCGGGTCTGTTACACAGAGAAACTCTGTCTCAAAAAACAACAATAACAACCAAAAAAAACATTTGTTTTCTTTATTTTTAAGATTTTAAATTTATTTTTATGTGTATGGTGCTTTGCCTGCATAAAGGTCTATGCCTACACATGAGTGTGTGATGAACCTAGAGGCCAGAAGAGGGAGTCAGATGCCCTGGAGCTTACAGTTGGAACCCACCATGTGGTTGCTGAGAATCAAACCTGGGGTCTCTGTAAAAGCAGCCAGTGCTCATAATGGCTGAGCTATCTCTCCTGCCCCAGGAAACATTTATTTTCTAGGATGAACAATCTATTCCCAAAGTTGGTGTCTCTGATTTCTCTATCCCTCTAGACACTCAGTCTTTCTCACAATCCCTGACATCTGTCTCTTCCACTAACACTTCAAAACCCCAGCTCAGACCTCAACAATAGCCTTATCTGGCTCTACTCATGGTCCCTCTTTCCTTTCCTAAAATCTCTCTGGCCCAACGGCCCTAGACTGATTTTCTTAAAACACTACCGTGATCACATTGGCTCCAAACTTGTGAGAATTTTCCCTTACCTTTTTCATTAGTCCCGAATCCCAGGCTCAGCAGTGCCTGTCCAGCCCTAGCTACCTCTCACTTTTCTCTCTCATTGTCCAAATAAACCCTCACAGTAACCTACTTAAACTTCTCACTTAATGCCTTGTACTTTTCTGGCTTTAAGTGTTAGAGCACATAGCTTTTCTCCACCTAGGATACCTTGCTCTTATCTTCAATCCTAGCCTATAGAAATTCAAATTATATTTCAAAAGCTGGTTTGAGAGACACCAGCTGTGATATACTTCTTCATCACCATCACTTCAACATTACCTTCAAAGGTTAGACACAACTGGATTTGAATTACAACTCCAGTCACTGGCTGAGTGATACAGGACACATTCCTTAAATATCCCTTGCCTCAGTTTCTTCATCTATAACACAGGGATAAAATCAACTTTCCTTTGACACATGTAAGGAATAAATGAAATAACTCTTGTATGTAAAGTATTTAGCATGATGAGAACTCAAGAGAAATAAGAAATTGTTGGTCTTCTAATTACTACTTGCTATTAGTGAACTTTTATATCAGTCTGAACTCAGACAATACTTATGACCATTGCAAGCTGGTTCATGAATATACAGTATTATTGCCCTTACTATCTCTATTCTCCCACCCCCTAACTGTCTTCTACTAGCCCGTTACCCAAATTATATCATCTGATAGACAGGTGAATGTCTTCTATGACTTACTACCTACAATAATCACTCATACATAGAGGTGATTGTATTAGGTTGCTTTTCTTGCTTCTGTGACCAAACACCTAAACAGAAGCAACTTAAGGAAGAAGCATTTATTTTGGGTCACAGTTCACAAGTACAGTCCATGGTAGAGAATAGAAGGCATGGTAGCAGGAATTTGCTAACATGCTGGCAGATGAGGAAACAGAGAAAGGGGAATGCTGGAGCTCTGCTGGACTTTTTTTTCAGTCCAGTATCTACCTCATAGGATGGTGCCACTCACATTTAGGATGGGTCTTCTGCCCTCTGTAAACCTCTCTGGACACACTTTCACAATAAAGTTAAAGACTAATCACTCTAGTGATCAAGTTTGTTTTATGCTTAATGAAAAAAAATACTGAAGATTTGACAGTATTAAAATGTCCAACATACACAGTGAAAGGTATTACAGAATGCTTTAAAGTAATTAAAAGATTAAACCTCTAGTCTCACAAAATGAAATCCTTTTTTATTTATAGTTCTAACTTCCTTTTGCACTTTTCCTTACTTTTAAAGCCAACCAACCAACCAACCAAGCAACCCATTCATTCAGCAAGAGATAAAACAGCAAAATACATGCAGGTCAAACAGCAGCCAAATACTGGAAAACAAGGACCACAAGACAACTGAGCTGAGCACAGCTTTGGGTGAAGTCAAATGGGAAGACAATTTAAAGGGAAAGATAACTGGCTGGTCAGTCAAGCTAACAATGCTGATTGTTACTCACACACAGGGCCAAGTATAAACGACTGAAATCACCAGACCAGAGGATACAGAAATATCTATCATTTAGCTTAACTACTGAGTTTACCACTCAGTATTTACTACAATAAGTACTACAGTATTTACATGACCAATTTTAATTGCCTATGCCAAAAATTACTATTAACATTCTTCAAGATTCTAAAGTATCCCAAGTTTTGACCAATGAAGCCATGTCAAATAGATATGGCTTTACTGTATATTAATCATTTACTTCAAGACAATTAGTATGAAATGGCTTAATAAATGTTACTATAACATAAAATGTTTTCAACAATGCCCAGGGAAAATAATATTACAATACTGGGTTCTACTTCATATGTCTGTATCTACTTACATGACTTAATATCTGTAACAATCACTCTTGATTGCTTCCATAGCCAAAACTAGGCCTGGTAACCCGGAAAATCAGAGAAGTTACTAGTGGAGTGAATTAAGATGATCTAAAGATACGTTATGAATTTTGAAATATCTACCATAAAGCAAAAAATCTACTCATGAAAATACTACATTTCTACCCCTCTGATATTTGTCTCTAACAGATCCTAAAATGTCTTACCAGCTCTGAAGTACAATCACAGAATCGTAAAGCTTTGGAAACTCTTTCTCATCCTTTACTGTAGGAATTCCTTATATCAGCTGTCTGGCGAAAGCACCCCCCACCCCAGCTTCTGCCTGAAACATCTAGCAATGTGTGCTAACTGTTTTGCAGAACAGTGTACTTTATTTCTACAAACTTCCTCCCTAAAGCAATGAAAATTTGCCTCTCTAAACTTCTATCCAAAGATCTCAGTTTTGTATCCTGGAACAACACAAGGTAAATTAACCTCTGAAGTAGACTAATTTCTTGAATTAGGGTAAAGTTGTCAATTTAGTCACACCAAAACACACAATACTCACAAAGGAAGAAACCACCACTATATGCAAGAAAATTTTGAAATCCAGGAAACCATACTGAAATCACAAGGCAACATGCTTTCAAGATACCAAACCTCACACCTCAGTTAACAAATACTAACCACCCAACTTTCTTTTATACAGTGGAAGGCCATAGCGTTCATTGAATACCTCTTTGCACCTTGACACTAATGTTAAATTCAATGTTAAAAATTACAATTCTATAAGAAATAGCTTCTCCAATTGTTCATATTTTCATCTAGGCGCCTGTTTCTTTTTTTTTTTAAGACCCCTTTTACCACGCTGGTGCAATACACGTTAGCAGGTATTCTCAAAAATGAATCCTAAGAATAGGACTGTAAAGGAGTTGGGGTGGGGATGGAGGCAAAGAGAAGCGCGGCAGAAAAAAAGCTGGTTGCTGGGCATTTTTCTTCTGGAAACAGCCTTCAGTGACACAAGCATTTGAAGTAATGAACCGTCCAAGCACAACCCAAGAGCAAGAACCATCATGAGCAATGAGCGTAAGGCTCATGGAAATGAAGTGGCATTGGTCATCGAGCAGCACCGGATGCTTTGGGACCTGACTGAAAAAGGTAAAAGTCCAAGAAGCAGAGCAGACCAGTGCCATCTTTAGAGTAGACCACTGCCATCTTTTAAGGGAGGGAAGAAACCAGGGAGTAACTACCATTGAGCAGCCCAATGAAGCCTGAACTGTACGGAGCACGAGAGAGAGAGACGCCAGAGACTGGTGAAAGGCACACACACGGTGCACGGTGAGACGCAAGAAGGATGCGCAGTGCACTGACCTGGTCCCTAAACGGTGTGAGTAAGGGATATGGGTGTGGGTCGGGGGTCATGTAGGAGCCCACCGTTCCCCTCCCTGCAACCGAGCAACAGAGGGTAAAAGAAGGGGGAGGGTGAAAAGCAAGAATGACTCATAGCCGAAAGGAAGTGCTCAAGCCATGGGAAGCATGCTACGGGAGATTTCCGAGGCAGCGCCGTGAGGGGCTGGGTGCCCCGGGTGATGGGGACCCCCAACCCAACATCTGGCCGCCGCTGCTGCTCGCCGGTAGGATGAGGGCGTGGGGGGGGGGGGGGGGTTCGCGGCAGCCTGAGTGCCAAGGCCTGGGAAGAGGCGCGGCGCGTGCGCAGTGGCGTTCGGCGGGACCCGCTGAGGCACAGCGGAGCCGCAGTGACAGAAGCGAGGAGCTGGCCGCCTGGAGGGACTCACCGAGGCGCAGGGGCTGGAGGTGGTGCTGGGGGTAGGCGACCGCTGGACCGTGACCAAAGCCATCTAGGCGCTGCTAGGTTGTTCCGGGCAGGGCATTCTCGTCCTGAGTGTAGGGGGCGGGAGGGTGACGGAGCCGGGATGGGGGGCAGAGGGTGAGGGGTAGGGACGAGGGGGACGGGGAGGAAGATGAAGCCGCGGGAACGGGCTCGGGCTCCGCACCCACCACCGGACTCTCGCCGCCGACTGACGCGCCGAACGGGCGGGCGGGCGGGCGGGCGGGCAGGCGGGCGGTTCGGCAGCTGCGGGGCACAATGAGCGCTCCCAGTGCGCAGGCGCCACCTGTCAGCAACCGCCTCTCCCCTCGGCGCGCGCCGCCGCCGCCGCGTAACCCTTGAGCTGCCGGAAGCGAGCCGGCTGCGCGCGCCGCGCCCCGGGCCGCCGCCCCCTCCCGGCTCGGCCCTCGGGCCCTGTGGCCGCGCCGTTTTGTTCCCGCTGGGCCGCCGCCGAAGTGGCGTGGGGCCGGGTGGGGAAGGCACCCGGGAAGCCCTCCGGCTAAGGGGTCCCGAGCCGGGGAGCCGCTAGTCCTCACTCCCGAAAGACTACCATTTTTTTTTTTTTTTTTTTTTTTTTTTGAGGTGGGGCGCGCAGCCTAAGCAACCGTAGAGAAAAACGGAGGTGAAACTCCCGCGGCCGACACGTTTTCTAGTGGAAAAGAGCTCCGCGGGTGTCAGACGCTTTCTCTGAGCTAGACCTCGGAGACCAGCCCACCCCCCTGGCCCTCAAGACGGCTCTTCATGAGCTTTCCCACCCTCCCCATCATAAAGGGCCTCACGGTTAACGACGAGACTTCCCCTAAGAAAGATTTCCCCGTGGTAAACACTGGAAACTTCGTGGTACCCTCATGCTTCCTCTACTACCTGCCTAAAGCCAGTCACTGTACCAGAGAAGAGATGCTGAGGGGACCTGGGGGCACAGAGAGCTGGACCCTGAGTTGGAAAACTCCAACCTGCTCTGTACCTCCCATTTGCTCCCTACTGTGAAGATCTCCTCTAACGAGGATTTGCTCGTTTGAGCTGTCTTCTTTCCCCCTAAATTCCATTATTTCAGAGATGTGAAAATGTAGATTTACAACATTTTAAAGGAATACACTTCTAAATGATAAGCTGTTGGTATCAAGAATGTAATGGAAAAATCAAGATTAAAAAGGAAAAAAAAAAGGCACACAGTGCAAACCATTGATATTTACACAGAGACCGTTGAGTGGATGAGCTGGTAAATGCCACCGTCCATCTCAAAGCTGTAGAAAACACACACTTAGGACTCTGCAGCTTCTAAAGCCCACCTCTTTCTGTTTGTCACTCAAACACTCTTGGATCTCATTGCTCCTTTTAAACTGACGGGGCTGTCGTGAGCTCTTTCTGGTTGCTGTGTGGTTAAGTGACACAAGAGCCCTCTTTGCTGAGTCTTTGTTCCCTCCCTGGGGCCCTGTGGTTGAAATAATTAGCAGGGAGGTTCCATCAAGAATCACCGAGGGTCCCCGTGCTGTACAGTCCTCTGTCGAGTGTACTGCAGAGAAACCAGCTGTTAGGCTTTTGCCCCCTGGTGGTGATCAAGAGTGCCTAAGAGACAAAAACTAAAGATCTATGGTTCACAAACAATGTTTTCCCCAGAGCTCCCCAGCAAACAGGAAAGAAAAGGCAAGGTTCAGAAATAAGAACTTTGAACCAATTCTTTAGAGACCAAACAGAAAACTATGTAGATAACCAAGAACTCTATGTAGCTGAAAGAGGAATGACCTCCAATAAATGTGTTTATAAACCAAAGGAGTATTGCCCAAATCAATAATTCTCAGTAGTTCATTCCCTTACTGACACGTGGTTGAAAACTTGGACTATCTTCTTCTACGTAGTAATATACTCTAAAGAAATTCATCTTCAGGAGGAGACGTTTGATTCCATTAACCTTACAGTGAGAAAGCGCACTACTGTGAGTCAGCCCTTGCTTCTAGTTCCAGCTGTGTAAAACCTTATGCAAATGACGTGAACATTTTGAGCTGTAGTTCCTTATTCTCTATGATGAAACTCAAACTCACAGGGACTTTCATAATCAAATGAGATAATGTATGTAAATTAGAAGGCCCTACATGCAATTAAGATAAGTCTCTGTTCTCTGTAGTGTTCTGAGTTCAGAGAGGCCTTGTTGAGTGTGTCCTATGTGCAGGAAATGCCTTCAAGCAAAAGAAAAATATTAAGGTGATGAAATTGGGTTATATAATATTCAAATTTGCACTGTTTATATCAGGAAGTTGATTTATTAACATATAAAGGAAATATATCTTCGTGTCATGTTAGAAACTGAGATTTGAAAATTATTGCTATATGTTTATTAACTTGATTGAGAGAACGTTGAGTGTGTGTTGTATACTAGGTATTCTTTTTTATTTCTGTGTCTATGCATGTGTGTTGGAAACGTGTGTGTGAGTGTAAAGATGGATGTGCCTGTGCATACATGTGTAGAGGTCTGAGGTCATTGTCGGGTGTCGAACTCTTTTTCCCTGCCTCTCACTGGACCTGGAACTTGTCAGTTCAGCTATACTGGCTGGCTAGCAAGCCCCTGACCTGCTTGCCATTGCTTTCTAATGCACAGGGGTTACAGATGTGTTGTCAACACTAGCTTTTTTTTAAATAATCTATTTTGGTTTTTTTTACATTATGTGTGGAATGGGGGCCATGCACATATATATCATGGTTTACCTGTGGAGGTCAGAGAACAACCGATGGAATAGAGTCCTCTCCTTCCACAATGAGGATCATGGATATCAAACTCAGATCATCAGGCTTGATGGCAGGCACCGTTACCCACTGAACCATCCTCACTGCCCCCCCATGCCTATATTAAGGACAAAATAGAATAAGTGTCTCAAGGAGCCCATAGCCTCTGGTCAGGAGATGTGTATGCATCAACAAATAATTAAAGTATACTTTAGTGGTACTATGATTCAGTCATCTTTTCTAGACTCCAAGGAAATTAACTTTCAGGCTTGGGCTATAGATTTCAAGATAGCTCCTTTTTTTGTTTGTTTTTGTTTTTTGAGACAGGGTTTCTCTGTGTAGCATTGGCTGTCCTGGAGCTTTCTCTGTAGACCAGACTGACTTCTAATTCACAGAGATCCACCTGCCTCCGCCTCCTGAGTGCTAGGGTTAAAGGCGTGTGCCACCACTGCCCTTGGTAGCTCCTTTTTGGATTGGGCTGGATTATAGAGAAGAAATCTATTTTGCTGTCATTTTTTCCTGTTCTTCTCTGGGATCCAGATTCCTGCTGTTTCTTCTGGTGATCTGAGAGGTGGTATCTACTACGAAAATCCCCAAACTCCTGACTATACCAACTTAATTTGTTTGTGTGTGTGTGTGTGTGTGTGTGTGTGTGTTTGAGACGTGGTCTCTTGTGTCTAGGCTGGTCTCAAACTTGCTATATAGCAGAGATTAACTTTGAATTCCTGATCCTCTTGCTTCTGCCTCACAAGTGCTGGGACTGTAGATATGCATTACCAAGTTTGGCAGTGGTAGCTTAATTTGAAAAAGGAAAAGCCAAGAGAAGGATTCTCAACAGAGTCAAAGAGACGAGAGCCCCAGTTCTACTTACAGCTCCTCCCCTCTTCCCATTCGTGGTACTGGAGGCCTGACTGTGCCCGTGGAACCCATCTCACCATGAGTGAAATCATAGGGTACTTGAAATTCCTGAAGTCAACTGATTCTTACGCTTTGAAAGCGATTGACCTTTTCTACAGAAAGATACTTCTCCATATTTCACACAGCCACTTCATTTCATGGAGGACCTCAGGTTAAGAAGCAAGTGTTCTTAACCTTTTTTCTTCACATCCTGACAGCCTTAGAAATAACATTTGTATGACACACTGGGTAAGTTAAAAAGATTTAAAGACATGGCATTAGAGGAAATTTAATTTCTTTATATCATATACTTTAAGAAACAACAACAATAACAAAAGCACATATTGTGGTGCATATTGCCACCTGTCCTGACCCTCAAAACAGGGTCTCTTGTAGCCCAGGTTGGTCTTGAACTCACTTTGTGGCTGACTCCTGCAGCACCTGAGCCTCCTGTCTTAGCCTTCCAAATGCTGTGATTACAGGCTTATGCCACTGTGCTTGCTTAATGCTGTATACTGTTAGTGAAAAAATAAAATGAATGTATAATACTAAGGATGTTAAATATTTAATCTGTATAAGTTTCTAAATAAAATCTTTTTAAAAATTTGATAAAGTATCAGAGATTCCTTCTGTAAACATAACATGTTTTAATATACAGTTTTATGACTGAAATGACAGTGTTCATTTTCTGTGAAAAACTATAATGATGATCTCTTCAAATTATTCATAGACATTATTGGTAAGTTCACACATGTAGTTAATAAAAATTTAAATAATTGTCACATTTCAAAATTTACAAGCCTAAATCATATTTGTCTCTTGTAGCTCATTCTTACCTTTGTCCAACTAGAAGACATAATGTGAAAATCTCTCGTGATAATATGACGGCATTAAAGCCCATTTAAACTTTATTATCAAGTATATATTGCAAAATAATTACAAATCTCTAATTTGCAGAGTATGCTGCTTTATTGGAACAATAATTATGCAGCTAACTTAGACATAATGAAAAAGGCATCTCAAACATAAACAAGGGGAAAATTAATGTAGAATTCTTGTAAAAGAGAAGAAATTGAAAACTGAATCCATTTAAGAATATCTGTCATGTTCCCAGCCATACTTGAAGCTGCAAATCCTTTTCCTTGGGTACCTGGCACATGTTGTCTTCTGATAACTCTAAAGCTCATTGGTCATAACACACAGCAATATGCACACATCTGGCTTCTGGAAATGATGTCCTGGTGGTATAATGCTCCTTAGCTTTGCTCAGGAGGTTCTTTATTATGCTTGCTACCCAGTGGGACCTTAGACCATACTAGGGCAAGTCATCTTACCCTATGGGATGTTCCCTAAGAATCACTAGATGACACTGTTTCTGGCTAGAGGTGATTTACCTAGAAATACCAACCACTCCAGTTTTTCTAGGCCATTCCTAAGGCTGAATAGATAACTATCTTGTAGTATGACTATAATTCATACATCATATACCAAGTGAAGTGTGACTGTAGTTTATATAATTAAACTTATTCAAAAAGAGAAAAACAAGGAATTTAGCCATGAACCTCAAACCACAGAGGCAGA